GGGGGGGGGTGACAGGGACACCGGGGGGGGGGGGCAGGGCCACCGCTGTCCCCAGGCCGGGATTTGGAGCGCGGGAATCGCGACAGAGGCGGCGCTGTCGCGACAGAGGAACCCGGGGGACACCGAGGGGACACCGGGGGGACACCCGGGGACACCCAGGGGACAGCCGGGGGGGTGGGGTGGATGGGAGGGGAGAAAATGGGAGAAAATAGGTGGGGAAAATGGGAATAAATGGAAAAAATGGGATGGGAATGGGGGGAAAATGGGTAAAAAACGCACGGAAAACATAAAAAATGGGTTAAATAGCACATGGAAAACAGAAAATGGGTAAAAAAATAGGTGGAAAAATAGAAAATTAATTTTAAAAAAGGCATGGGAAGCATGGGAATGGGTGAAAAACGCATGGAAAACATAAAAAATGGGTAAAAAAACCCATGGAGAACATAAAAAAAATGGGTAAAAAATAGGTGGGAAAAATGGGGAATTAATGAAAAAAACCGGATGGGAATGGGGGGGGGAAATGGGTAAAAAAACAGATGGAAAACAGAAAATGGGTAAAAATAGGGGGGGAAAATGGGAAATTAATGGAAAAAAAGGGATGAGAAAGGTGAAAAATAGGTGGGAAAAATGGGAAATTAATTAAAAAAAAACACACGGGAAAGGGTGAAAAACGCATGGAAAACATAAAAAATGGGTAAAAAACCCCATGGAAAACAGAAAATGGGTAAAAAATAGGTGGGAAAATGGAAAATTAATAAAAAAACCACATGGGAAGAATAGAAAAGGGCATGGGAAGCACAGGAATGGGTGGAAAATGCATGGAAAACGTAAAAAATGGGTGAAAAACACATGGAAAACAGAAAATGGGTACAAAATAGGTGGGAAAATGGAAAATAAAAAAAAAATGGATGGGAAGGGGGAAAAATGGGTAAAAAATAGGGGGGAAAATGGAAAATAAAAAAAAAATGGATGGGAAGGGGGAAAAATGGGTAAAAAATAGGGGGGAAAATGGAAAATAAAAAAAAAATGGATGGGAAGGGGGAAAAATGGGTAAAAAATAGGGGGGAAAATGGAAAATAAAAAAAAAATGGATGGGAAGGGGGAAAAATGGGTAAAAAATAGGGGGGAAAATGGAAAATAAAAAAAAAATGGATGGGAAGGGGGAAAAATGGGTAAAAAATAGGGGGGAAAATGGAAAATAAAAAAAAAATGGATGGGAAGGGTGAAAAATAGGTGGGGAAAATGGGAAATTAATAAAAAAATGGATGGGAAGGGTGAAAAATGGGTAAAAAACAGATGGAAAACAGAAAATGGGTAAAAATAGGTGGGGAAAATGGGAAATCTAATGGAAAAAAATGGATGGGAAGGATGGGAAAGGGTGAAAAATAGGTGGGAAAAATGGGAAATTAATAAAAAAAATACATGGGAAAGGGTGAAAAACGCATGGAAAACATAGAAAATGGGTTAAAAACCCCATGGAAAACAGAAAATGGGTAAAAAATAGGTGGGAAAAATAGAAATTGGGTAAAAAATACGTGGGAAGAATAGAAAAAGGTGAAAAACAGGTGGGGAAAATAGAAAATTAATTTAAAAAACGGATGGGAAGGATGGAAAAGGGTGAAAAATAGGTGGGAAAATGGGAAATTAATAAAAAAACCACATGGGAAGAACAGAAAAGGTTGAAAAGTGGGTGGGAAAAATGGAAAATTGATTTTAAAAAGGCATGGGAAGCATAGGAATGGGTGAAAAACGCATGGAAAACATAAAAATGGGTTAAAAAACACATGGAAAACAGAAAATGGGTAAAAAATAGGTGGAGAAAATAGAAAATTCATAAAAGAGCACACGGGAAACACAGACATGGATAAAAAAGGCATGGGAAACATAGAACATGAATAAAAACATGGGAAATTCATGGAAAACACGTGGGAAACAGAAAAATGGGTAAAAAATACATGGAAAATACAGAAAATAGGTAAAAATACACGGGAACATAGAAAATTCATAAAACCCCAGAGAAAATGCATGAAAATCCAGGTGGGAAAGGCAGGAAATGCACCCAAAATACACCCGAAATGCACCCAAAATACACCCAAAATACAGCCAAAGTACACCCGAAATACACCCAGAATACATCCAAAATACACCCAAAATACACCCAAAATACAGCCAAAATACACCCGAAATACACCCAGAATACACCTGAAAGGCACCCAAAATACACCCAAAATTCACCCAGAATACACCTGAAATACACTCAAAATACAATTGAAATACACCCAAAGTACACCCAAAATACACCCAAAATGCAACCCCATAATAACCCAGAATTCACTCGAAATACACCAAGAATACACCCGAAATACACCAAGAATACACCTAAAATACACCCAAAATACACCCAAAGTACACCTAAAATACACCCAAAGTACCCCTGAAATGCGCTCAAAATACACATGAAATACACCCGAAATACACCTGAAATGCACCAAGAATACACCTAAAACACACCCAAAGTACACCCGAAATACACCCAAAATGCAACCCCATAAAACCCCATAATTCACTCAAAATACACCCAAAATACCCCTGAAATGCACCAAGAATGCACCCAAAGTACACCCAAAGTACACCCAAAGTACACCCAAAATACACCCGAAATGCACCCGAAATGCACCAAGAATACACCTAAAATACACCCAAAGTAACCCAAAGTACACCCGAAATACACCCAAAATGCAACCCCATAATGACCCAGAATTCACCTGAAATGCACTCAAAATACACCCGAAATGCACCCAAAGTACACCCGAAATGCAGCCCCATAAAACCCCAGAATTCACTCAAAATACACCCAAAATACACCCGAAATACGCCTGAAATGCACCAAGAATGCACCTAAAATACACCCAAAGTAACCCAAAGTACACCCGAAATGCAGGAAATGCACCCAGAACACGCTCACACACTCACACACACGCACTCACCGTGCACACTCACACCTGTACACACTCACACACCTGTACACACACACCTGTACACACCTGTACACACACACACACACACACTCACACTCACACCTGCACACACAGACCTGTACACCCAAAACACACCTACATACACACTCACACCTGCACACTCACCGTGCACACTCACACCTGCACCACTCACACACCTGTACACACACACACACACACTCACACACCTGTACACACACACTCTCACACTCACACACACACACACTTACTCACACACACACCTGTACACACACACACACACACACACACTCACACTCACACCTGTACACACAGACCTGTACACCCAAAACACACCTACATACACACTCACACCTGCACACTCACCGTGCACACTCACACCTGCACCACTCACACACCTGTACACACTCACACACACACACACACACACACACCCCCTCACACTCACACCTGCACACACTCACACCCGGCCAGGCCCCTCAGACCCCACACGTGCCCCCTCCCCCAGTGAGACCCCCGGGATGGCTCTGGAAGGGACCCACCCCCCTGCCCCCCGTCCCTTGCACACCCAGCCCTGTACACCCCCATCCTTGCACACTCCCAGACCTTGCACACCCCACTCCTTGCACCCCCACCCCTTGCACACCCCTTGCACATCCCTTGCACATCCCTTGCACCCCCACCCCTTGCACCCCCACTCCGGTGCCGCTCCCCGCGCGTCGCTCACGGGAACTTGGGGAGAAGTTGCCCCGCGCGTCGTGGCGGCTCCATCCCGGTTCTTTCCCGGCTCCATCCCGGTTCCTTCCCGGTTCCATCCCCGGCTCCGGTGGCGGTTCCATCCCGGTTCCATCCCGGCTCCCGTGGCCGTTCCATCCCAGCTCCGGTCGCGGTTCCATCCCGGCTCCACCCCGGCTCCACCCCGCCCCGGTGCCGGTTCTATCCCGGTTCCGGCGGCGGCTCCCAGGCGGCTCCATCCCGGCTCCGGTTACATCACCAGCTCCCACCCGCTCCGGTCCTGGCTGCTGCAGGAGCTCCGCTCTGACTCCGTGTCCGGCTGCGCTCCCAGCCCCGTGCCCGCCTCCGCTCCCGGCACCGGCTCCGCTCCCTTCCGCGCCTCCGGCTCCGCCAGCGCCGCTCCCGGCCCCGCCCGCGGCTCCGGCCCCAGCCCCGCTGCCGGTCCCGTCCGCGCCGCAGCCCCAGCGCCGCTCCCGGGGCCGCCGCCGGCTCCGCCCGCAGCCCCGGCCCCATTCCCGAGCCCATTCCCGAGCCCGTTCCTGATCCCGAGCCCATTCCCGATCCCGAGCCCATTCCCGTCCCTGTCTCCTGCGGGTCCCATCCCCGGCTCCACCAGCAGCTTCTCCTCCCGCCTCGGCCCCATTCCCGACCCCATTCCTAATCCCATTCCCGTTCCTAATCCCATTCCCGGCCCCATCCCCTCCCTGGGTTTCAGTCCCGGCTCCACCCGCAGCTGCAGCCGCTGTCCCCATCCCTGTCCCCACCAACTCCAGCCCCATCCCCGCTCTGTCCCCATCCCCATCCCCACTGCCACTGCCCCCGTCCCACCGCCACCAGCAGCCCCATCCCTGTCCCTGCCCCATTCCCAGCCCCATTCCAGCCCCATCCCTGTCCCCATCTCATCCCTGTCCCTGTCCCCATTCCCAGCCCCATTCTCGTCCCTGTCCCCATTCCCGTCTCCATTCCCTGTCCCCATTCCTATCCCCATTCCTGTCCCTGCCCCATTCCCAGCCCCATCCCTGTCCCCATTCCCACCCCATCCCACCCCATCCCAGCCCCATCCCTGTCCCCTCCTGTCCCCCTCCCCGTGCCCATCCCGTCCCCTCCCCGTCCCCTCCCCGGGGCTCCCGGCTCAGCGGGCG